AACCAGAGCTGAACACATTAAGTAGTTGGGTTTGTTTAATTCACATTTTACTTCTACAGAGTATTTCTGCTCCTGGCAGTGGGATCTGGAGTGATGGAAAAGATAAAAGTGATGGAGCACAGGCACACACATGGAATGTAGAAGTCTTGATTGATGTTCTCAAAGAACTGGTGAGTACTGGAATCATGTTTTTACATTCATGTTGTTAGTATGATGTAGCCCACAGAAAGTAAATTTTAATGAATAAAGTGCCCAGCTGAATAAGAGCTTTCATAGCTTAGCAGTAATGGTGTCTGAGATAATTGTGTATTGGAGACAGTGCGTAATCAGATTCCAGTTTTGTTCATTTGGTGTTGTTGCTATTAAATTTCAAGTGGTACGGCTGAGGTGATTTGTTGGGTTGGTGTGTTTGTGTGTTTGTTTTTTTTGGAGGGACCAGTTTGTTGCAAGGTAATGATTGTGTGAGGCATTATTGAGGAGAAAGGAGGCCTTCTGAATGTTTTCTGGAAGGTGCAACAAGAATCCTGTCAACCTTGCTTATAGTGGATAGGGACAATAAAAACCCAGATTTGGGCTGGCCGCGTGCTCACTTGGTTAAGAGTTGGCTTAAAAGCGCGAGCTCTGAGCAGTAGTGCTGCTGGTTCGATTCCCACATGGTCCAATGACGCTGCGCCTGAGCTGAGCTGTCGCTGAGCTGCCAACAAGTGGCAGGATGGCTCACCTGGTGTAACAGCAAGATTGCCTGTTGGATCGTGGGCTACGCCCACCCACAACTAAGACTGAACTCTGCACCTTGAGCTGAGCTGCCGCCCGAATGGCTCAGTGGATAGAGTGTGCGCTTTTATAAACAAGGCCACTGGTTCAACACCCACATGGGATAGTGGCTACGCCCACCCGCAACTAAGATTGTAACACAACACCTTGAGTTTACAGGCCATGAGCTGCTGCCGGGAAGCCAGATGGCGACTGGCACCCGCCACAATGAAGATTGAAGAACAATTAACTACTTGGCTGGTCCCCTCCCCCAATTCCCCAATAAAATCTTTAAAAAAAGGTAAAAATAAAAAAAAATAAAAATCCAGACTTCTTTTTTTTATTATTATTTTTTTTATTGGGGAACAGCCATGGTCATTGGCTACACATTACTTTCATGCTACAGTGGCAGAATTGACTAGTTTAGGGAGGGCGCAACTAACAT